CTCCTTAAAAACGATTGAGTAATTAAATTACAACAATAAAATATGTGTTGTGTATGATAATATCAAAAAGGATTTTAATTGAGCATTTAATTATTGAAAAAGGTCTATGATATGTTGTAGAGTAACTGATATGGGTTTATTATGAAAGATTTTTTTCTTTATTTTCTTATTTAGAAATTATATAAAAATCAAACTTGATCAATAGTTAAATAATAAATACACTTTTTAAAAATTCTTATTGTTTTTTAAAAAATTATATATAGTCTTCAGATTCGATCTCCCTAAAATATGCCCATACTTTCTGTCTTAGATGAACCTAGCCTGCTAGGTATTAAGCCTATTTACTCTCTCCTTTCTCCCCCGTTTACTGGAATGAAGTTTCCACATTGCTGTGAAAATCTTCTCCATTCATTCCTAAGAGGTGGTTTTAATGAATTCAAATCTAACACTGAGGATTTCGATAGTTTCCATCTACTATAAAAGAACAAAAAAAAATTTGATCTTCAGATCAAATCATCAGATCAAACAAGTCATCTTAAGATAGTATCTTGACCAATTAACCCATTTTAAACCAAAATTATTACTAAAAATTTTTGTCTATTAAAACAATAAGCGAATAAAAACAAATTAATATTTTTCTTAAAAATATTATATAACATATAAACATTTTTTGTATTTTATCTAAAAACATGAAGTGGTTCCTACCTTCCGTAATGAAACAAATAAAGAAATTTACGGAGAAAACTACTAACGTAGAGGATCGCTTATTGCTTACGATATGTACTAGGATGGAAGGAACTCGGAAAAGGAGTTAGAATATACCCAAGGTAAGGCAAGCGTAAGTCCGAAACCTGGTAACAGGTTGTTATGGCTACTTAAGAAAGTAAATAAGGCATGCCCTACGTAAGAGGTGATTAGGCATAACTTCAGTAAGCATAACTTTACAACCTTTTTCGTGGCCCCCGAAGAAAAAAATATCTTAAAATTTAAAAAAACGGCTTTCTAGTTATATACGCTTTCTTCCATTTATATATACAAGCGTTAGACTTGGTTTAAAGTTCCGTTCCGAACAATAAAAGCGTACCCAGCATCAACCTTAATTAATAGACTTGATATCTAGTAGCAGATATCTTGATACTTGATATCTAATAGTAGATATAGTAGCAAATCTAGTAGATATCATAGTTTGCATCGCCGTTTCTGCGTGTCCATCGCCGTTTCTAGATTGCAGTGACTTCAGTTTCAAAGTTATTTAGAACTTTGGTTAATTTGTAGGCGGCATATTCCATATAGAGGGTTCAACCATTTCAAATGCATATTTGTAAATTATAGCCCTTACCCCATTCCAAGCATTCGAGGCTAGTATTCGAGATTCATATGCGAATTTAATTCTTGTCTTTCATCAGTATGACAAAATATCTACTCTTTTTTTCTTTTATACGTAACATTAATAGCCATCTTTAACAATATCTCTGTATTGTCCATCAAATTTTCTATATAATGCTGACTTTAGCTTCATATTAATTTAGGGCTTCCGTCAGTTTGAGAAAAGGAACTTCTATATAATGAGTTCGAATATTTCAAATAAATATCTGGAAATAATGCTCCTTACTCTATTTCTGGGGTTAATTCACATTTGCGATTCATGTCCGAATCTGATTCCGGTCATTGATTGACATTACAACAAATCTAATCTCTTTTTATTGTTTTTATAAAATTAACAATCATAATTTTTCTAATTATTTTTTAAGCTTTAATTATCATCATCTAAAATACTACTGGTACTTGGTCTTGTGCTCTTTAAACATATCGCTCCACTGACCCCAATTTCGAACTAATGGAATCAGTGCCAATATCATGAATGGGTTATTCTAAACTCCGAATATTCTGATATATGCCAACAATCTAGCACGAGTGTAGTCTATCTCTATACCGCCTACTAAAAAACCTAATAGGCTCCTCTTTCCTCATACGAGCTACTGGCAATAGCTCGCCCTTTTTTGGCGGTAGGAGGAAAGCATCAACAGCCACAGTTAGAGGCTTTAATCTAGAAAAACCTTCTAGGAAAGAATGGGTGAGATTTCCACCACTGACCGGTAAGGCAGTATGAAATTTCAATCCAGTAATTAAAGGAAGGGTTGAGATAACGACGGTAGCACCAGAAACCAGAAATCATGCCGGCGATATAAGAAAGATGAACGTAATCTCGCACAATAGATTTTATAAATCTTTATTCTTTTAAATTTACTAGTATCAACGTTTCCTTCTCATATATAGTTATGATCAACAATTCTGTGAGGAACTTTCGAATGCGATCAGAGTGCTTGAGACTGAATACTCATATCTTGAATTAAGACATAAGTACTAGTAAGATTGTAGTTTCATACCACCATAGAGTGATTAATTTTAGAATGTGATTTCTATTTGAAAACAAACGAATCTTTTTAAAATTAATAATAATGTGATATAATCTATATCTTGTAGCACATAAATTTTAAACAAAAATTGCCGTCAAAGAATAGAAAAATAAAATTATTTACTTTAATAATATTGTTAACTTATATTACGAATATTTTGTAATATAAATGAAACCACAAACAATATCATGTAAGACTGATTTTAGGTAGAAGGTTATATAAGTTAAAGCAAGAGTAGTAGTGGATCATTATTAAGCCTTTCTTGATGGCATGGCACATAGCTGTCAATAGGTTGTCGATTACTTGAAGGATATTTGTCTTAACAGACTCGAGAGTTTGAGGATTATCCATATATATAGGATTCTAGAAAAAACACTATACGGCTCACATTTAACATTTTTCAAATACAATAGTCTTTGGATAACTACTTGTCGATTTTCACATTCACATTTAGAACCATTATTAAGCGATCTCACCTTTTCTCCATTTTCCGTTCATGAGTTCCGCATTTCTTTATCAAATATTACTTTACATCACTTTTAGAGAAAACTGCAATCCAATAGGCGTTACCTTTATATTATTTCAACATTGCATTAAAATATATGAAGTAGAACATATTCTTTAACATACAGATTATTTGATATGCATCAAAGTAATAAATACTTTTAATATTTTTTTGGGCGCTTCATATACGTGCTATGTTCTCCATCGTTTCTTTATAATATATAAAAGTAATGTCATATGTTATTTACAATAGTGCCTATTTTGGGTTGTATATTACTAATAGGCAGTGGAAAAATTTTTATCAGGGCTCCGAAACGGAATTTTTTCATTTCTGTTTTCGTTCTGGTTCAAAAGAAAAAACTATATCGGTTCGGTTCTGATTTTCGTTCCTGCAAAAATATCGATTGTTTTCGGTGCAGGTTCGAAGCCCTGATCGAACCGGAGTTTTTTTGCGTTCCGGTCCAATAGAAAAAATATAATGCTGTTCGAAATATATAATTATAATTTTTAGAATTATTCAAATATCCATGAACAATTCGATGAAAATTCAAACATTCGTATATGCTGTTACTTCTAAAACAAAATTTTTTGAATAAAATCAACAACACTAACCAAAACATTATATTAATAAATAAAATCTTTGGATTTATCTTCTACATACATATTTTTAATATTATATATGTAAGAAATTACTTTAAGGTTTTAAATAACAAGTAACAATTGATTATATATAAAATATTTAACAAAATTGCATGAAGTCTAAATATTATTAAAATAATCAAATATTTTTTTTAGTGTGTCGAAACATAATATTCAACCAACTGATTACCACAAACTCATTATTTTGACGTTCACTAAAGTGCTTTTCTTCTTTTAACTCGTGCAAAATTACTGCATGGTTATTGTAATACACTTTACTCGCTCTTGCAAACGGTGGCTCTGCACTCGTATTTTTATAGTATTCTGTTTACAGGGTTAACAGGCTGCATGAAAGCAAACATATGTGAAATATATTTTCACTTACGTTGATATATGAGTGAATTAATATTATATATATTATTATTATATATTATTTATTTAATGTTATATTATTGACTTTTTCTTGGTATCAGTAACATTATGCATATTGAATCTGAGTTATATTTTACAAGTAAAAAAATAAAAAAACAAAAATCAGATGTTCTAATTATTTTTTAAGACTAATATGCACAATATGCATTCGCGATTATTTGAATTTGCAATGACGCACATTCAACGTTGCACAGAGATCTTGAATATCTTTTCTGTATTTTGTCTACATAGAGCATTTCATGTGGTAATGAATTTATCACACAAAATTTTTATTACTAGTAATTTTTTCATATATAATATAAAAAATCACACTTTAATTAAAACTTCAAGCTATTTGATGTTTAAATATGGATAATAAAACATGTTTCTAGTATATCATATTTATTAATGTACATAAATCTGGCCCCTGTGCTTGGTTTCATTAACAACACAATCATGTGACATTATTCGATCGACTGATTGCTATCAAACGGGACATCAACTTGTTTGTCTGGAAAAGAGCTCTTTGGCCTTCGTAGCTCTCAACGTGACACTCGAATCGAGTTCTCTTTTACTTAGGCTATTGTGGCGACTGTAAGCTACCAAAAAAATTTGGGTTTTATTATACAAAAATAATTAACTTGTATATTACATGTCTTCTTGATTTATTAGAATTTTTTGTATATGAGTTCAAAAAGGAAAGTGTGATTTTCATCTTATTTTTAAGCCATATATTATATGTCATATTACTTTTTCACAGTTCACTTGACTACTTCGAGTTAACACTGCCGCTTCTTTTTACAGCTGGTCACGATAGAAAGTGAAGATAACATGTAATACAATAATGTTATTTTGAACTCGATTTATATAATTTTTTGAAAATATATGAACAAAAAACTATTAATATATATTAGGAAAATGTATGATTAACAATATTTGACATATTTTACTTGATTGTTGTGCCTTGGCAACCCTGCGTACGAATAAAAGATTTTCGATTGCAGTTGGTGTAAAATTCTGACTTATTTGTTTAGTGAATATTTTTGAAGTATAAAGTTGTGAAGAATTTTTTTTAGTTATTTGGTGGTAAGTAAAATAATATTTAACTATTTATTTAAATCCTTTCAACTAACTGAATTAATAAAATCTTATTTATATCGTTATACGGTATGACAAATTTTCAACTACGTGACCAAGTGTGTGCTTATAATTTTTTTATTTTTTTTCTATGTGCGGCCACTGGAGTCTCCATCTTGCTTTCAAGTAAAAAAACGTTGAAAATAATGTGATAAATTTTAAAAGGGAGTGATTTGTTTGTTATTATAACATATTTGGTAGTTTCTATTAAATTAATTCAATTAATATTACGTATTTAAAGTGTTAATTAGCGGCGTTTTTGCTTGCGGTGGTTGTTTGGTAATTCTATTAATTTACTTGATGCACACTTGTGTGTGAGAAATCGATAAAAAAAAATCATATGCGGCCTTCTACTCAACGAGGAAAAAAATTATTAAATACGTGTTTTGAAAATTTATTAAAGTCAATAAGATATTTACTTCCTTTAATTACTTTTGCAAAGCCATAGATTTATGCAGAACCTATTTGAATAAAATAATTTAATATTATTTATATTCGCGAATTTTCTGAATATCTCGTTGCTTGCTTAGCTGTCAGAGCAGCGCTGCTGTCATATCGTGTTTTTGTTGTTGTGGAAAGAAATTTTTTGGTGAAGGGTAAAAAGAACATTTCTTTGTTGTTACTTAAAACAATAATGAGTATAAAATCCAGTTTTTAATTGTTTTATGCATAATTTATATATATTTTTTTCTTAAATTTTGTTTTAAATAATTTTAATTATTGTGAAATTTTTATTTTGTTTTGTTTGTGTATCTTGCTTTGATATCATTTGTTTTCGTTCTCAGTGTGGTTGCCTTTGTTGTCTGCTGTTATGCACAACAGATAAAATAAAATCAATATTTCGACTTTATTGATTGGAAATTATTTACACACTTATTAAACGGCTACTAAGCGCTTAGTGACAGAAGGAAGGCAATAGTAACTTGCGTGTGTAACGTCCACCTTCAAATCATTGTTTGTTTTCTTCGTTGGAATGAAAATGTCATAAAAATTATATACACTGCAAAAAATTCACCCACACAATACTGGCAACCCGTCTGAGAGAAATCTTTCTTAAACACTTCGTGTTTGCAAAGCGCTGTGGTGGGTTAAGTGATGTGATTTATAAATTAGTATGTTCAGCATAAAGAATTTTAATGATGTAGAGTAAAATACTACACAGATTATTATTGGAAGCGTTTTTGTTATTGAACCATTGTTCTTGTAAGTCAGAATATTTCCAAACCAGAGATTCATTGAACATTTTTTTTGTGCTCATTTTTGTGTACATTACTTTTGTTTAAATTTTGATGTGAATGAATTTATTTAATTACATTGTGACTTATGTATTAAAATTCATCTCATTCTCTTAACATGCTATTTATATATGATATAGAATTTCTCTTTCATGTCATATAAACATGCCAAGACACAACTGTGATATCAGGAACAAAGATCATCATTATAAGCAACTTGTTCCTGAAAACTATATGTCGTTATATATATATTGACAAGTGTTAAAATTATTATAGAGTTTCCTTTTCAAGTCATGTATACAAACCAAGGCATACTTTTCATTTCTGAAGCAATCATCACAAGTATAAGCAACTTTTTGCTGAAAACTATGTATCGATATATATACCGATGAGTTTAAAAATCATTATAGAGTTTCAAGTCATATATACAAACCAAGATGTTATTGAAATTTGTAGAGCAAAGATCATCATTCTGAACAATTTTTCCTTATAAACTATATGTTATAGCTTGACTTTCCAGATATATGATTTTAAAATCTTTTTTTACATCACCCAGCGATGACTAGCGGTGATTATTGTGTAAGTTTATATTATTAATTACCAAACAACTATTGACAAATATATGCGCTATTTATATATTCATAAAAAAATTATAGAAAATTAGAAAAATCGCTGGACTAAATATATATATCGAGCTAAAAGGTGATTATGTAGAAAAATAAAATGTTTAATTGCCGAAAAAAATTTGTTTTATTCAAAAACTCACTAACTTATCAAACCGCCCTCGTACTTTGAAATATATGTACTGATGTATATATTTTTATTATTTTATTAAATTGAATATCTATTGAGTAAATTGATGGTCCATAATTTCTGATCCAGATTTATTCGATAATCAAAACTGCACCGTATATAATTTCTTTACATTGTTGATGTTGGAGGCTTAAAGTGCATCAATTGAAACTAATTTTATATAAAGACATATAAAATACATTTGTCTTAAATATTGACTGAATTGGTGATTTGAAATTAGGCTAATCCAAGTTTTTACTGTAATTGTTCAATTACAAACTTATTCAAGGTTTGGCACAAAATTTTTTTTTTCTTTTTACTATATAATCCCAATTTATTTACCATTTATCATAATAAATTATTCTTCTTTTTTCCTAAAGCTCTTTTTATACTTCCATACTTTCTATTTTCTTTATTGGGTTACAACAACAAAAACAACGGTCTAAAGTAACTACGGTTTAGTCGCTCCCACACTTTTCTTACACAACCATATCAAAATCCATATATTCGTATTTATTATTACTCTCATGTTCTTCGCTATATAGATCTCCAGTAACAACCACAACAAAGCACTTTTGATTTTATTACTGTCTAATATGCACATATGTAATTGGATTAAAAAACTATAGTTAGCACAGATTTCATAGTCATGAAGGAAGTCTTAAAACTGACAAATATGAATTAAGTCAGCAAGCATTACTTGAGCCAGTAAATTTGATCCTTAATGAAATCGTGTGCCTGCAATTGAATTTTGTTATATGTCACAAAATTTAAACTCATATCGAAACTTATATGAAATCTGTTGTTATATATACTTTGTTTTAACAACTTAGCTTAGATTATAAAGTTTTAAAAGATATTATTTTCAACTAAATTTCTCACTTAAATCTCTTTTTTTTTCTCTCTTTTCAGCATGCATATTTAATTTATATACTATTATAACTTTTAATAAAAATTAAAATTAATAAATAAGTAGTTGTTTAACATAAAAGAGAAACCGATCAAAAAAAAGAAAATATGTCAAGTTTACCACGTCGCATTATTAAAGAAACTCAACGTTTAATGCAGGAACCTGTACCCGGCATTAATGCTATACCAGATGAGAACAATGCCCGATATTTTCATGTAATTGTAACTGGCCCCAATGATTCACCATTCGAAGGTGGAGTATTTAAATTGGAATTATTTTTGCCTGAGGATTATCCAATGTCTGCTCCTAAAGTACGTTTTATAACAAAAATATATCACCCCAATATTGATCGATTGGGTCGCATCTGTCTTGATGTGCTTAAGGACAAATGGAGTCCTGCGCTCCAAATTCGCACAATTTTGCTATCTATTCAAGCTTTATTAAGTGCTCCAAACCCCGATGATCCATTAGCTAATGATGTTGCTGAATTGTGGAAAGTTAATGAAGCTGAAGCTATAAGAAATGCACGTGAATGGACTCAAAAATATGCCGTTGAAGACTGAAGAGTAGAAATATATGCAGACGCTTATGTTGGCAGGGGACGGGTGGGCTAAGAATATCGTTGAATTTGAAAAAGTTTATTATGTGGTCGGGGGTGGAAAAAAATGTTGCCTTGGCGTCAGCATAGAAGAAGTTGATAGTCTAGCTCTGGGGGGAGGGGGCCGATTTTTAAAGGTAATTTTTTAAGTACTATGAAAAAAATGAAAGAAATATTAAAATCGTTCGGTTTTTATTTTTAAAATAATTTTATCATATATTAATAATAATAAATATATTTCAATAAAAAATAATAGCAATATAACTACAACAACAATATTTTACAGTTAATAGTAATATTCAATACAAACATATTAAGTATATACCTGGATACGATTCCGATTTCTCGGGTACACTTATTTGACAGCGAACTTAAGTAAAGATAACTGTTTTGAGCGAACTACTACATGAAGATTTTTATATAAAAACCACCAATAACAGGTGTATTGGTGTGTTAAAATTCATTTGAATGGAACTTTAAAACACTATTTCAAGAAGTTACACAAAATAGTTGACTTTATTAAAATCTGTTGTCGAATGGACGTGTCCAGGAAATCGGAGTGGTTTTCATACTTGAATAATTTGTTTAACGGGGGTCACTTAATAAAGAACACAAAGTCACTCGTAAGAAGATTCAAGAACACCAACTTCAAAAATCAAATATATTTTCAATAATAAACGTAGAAAATGCCTAAAAAATAAAATTGTAGAAAATAAAAAAAAATGAATAATTTAAATTGATTGTATTTGCCCTTAATTAAGCTTGTATTAAAAATTATAATATATTTTGTTAGAAAGTAAAATATATCGAATGCTCGTCAAATCATATTTTCTTAATTGATTGTCTTTAATTATTATTTTTTTTTATTTAATAAAAATGTTTCGTACACGATAAATATCTTCATTTTATTTCAAATTTTTAAATATAATACTTTTAGAATAAAAATATACCGAAAATAATACGAAGCATATGATGAAAGCTCTTATAAGCAACCTTTTATGTTATTTACCATGTTGTGCTGCTTCAAATATTCTCATCCAAAAAGATCCGCAAGTTAAAAATTTAACTTAAAAAAAAAATACCATAAATTATGTATAAAATATATTGTTTTAATATTCTATTAAGTTTTTTTCGTAAATTAATTGAAGCAAATATGTAATAAAATAAAAATGTGTAATAAGTTTTAATTAATTTTTTTAATCACTTTAAAATATTGGGCGAGAATGAAGTAACTAACTATCCGTTCGGATATTTTCATAATGAATTCTACGAAGATTTTACGTTATTATGTTATTCATCTAAGCGAACCTAGAGAGTTGGCGAACGATAGAGTCATATGTGATTCAAGTTCTCAAAACGAAAAAGTTAGATATAGAAAGGAGAACTAGAAACTAGAATAACAAATATAATAAATAGAGTGGATACCAAGAAAATGCGGTGAAAAGTGGTGATCTGGACGCAGATCGAATATCAAGAGAGCGTGGCTTGAAATGCCAACATAAAAGAGACTCTCCACGAAGTAATGCGAAAGCGGTTCCAAGAGGGAATGAGTCTCGCTGAAGAGGGAGTGTTTTAGTTCGTATACTACATATTAATGTTAGGAAGTCGGACACACCATTCCGACGACGATCGGTTTGACGGTGCATAAAGCATTTCACCTCCTCACCACAAAAAAAAAATATTCGTCTATTGAATATGGATACCACATTGTCTTATATGGATCCATACAAAATGAACTTAACTATCAACATTCGAGCTATTAAAAATTTTCGTATTGCTTCAAAATCAGTCTAGGTTTAGTTAGGTTCTCGATAGTGATGGTAAGTTCTTATTAAAATATATTAGACAACTAGTAGGTAGTAGTGCTATCGTAAAAAATTCGAAAGGTTTAAATACCTCTAATGAAGCTTAAGTTGTTCTTTAAGTACAGATCATGTCTAGCATCTGTAATCTTTGTTAAGCATGGAAAGTGTTATGCTTACCTAACCTTTAATGATCCGTAGTAAACCCATACAAAACTAATACATTAAGACTGAAAAGTTTTCGGAAATTCTCATTTAAAATTCGCGCGCTGTATATTTTTCGATATTTTAAGTTTATGTAGTTTGGCAGCACTGTCCTTAATTACTATGCCAAAAATGAGCTCGATCTGTCAGACAGTTCGTTTACGGCAGCTGTTGAAACCAGTTCACCTCAGTAGTGCGTTGCGAAATGTCTTCGACGGTCGTACGACCGTCCTGGAAGGCTTTGTACCACTCATAAACTTGAGTTTTCGATAAAACTGATTCCCCATAAGCCTTTTGTAGCATTCGCAACGATTCTGCACACGAAATTTCGTTCGAAACACAAAATTTGATGCAAACTCTTTGTTCAATATTTTTTTCCATTGTTTTTTTCGCAACGCCCTACTGAGGTGAACTGGTTTCAACAGCTGCCGTAAACGAACTGTCTGACAGATCGCGCTCATTTTTGGCATAGTAATTAAGGACAGTGCTGCCAAACTACATAAACTTAAAATATCGGAAAATATACAGCGCGCGAATTTTAAATGAGAATTTCCGAAAACTTTTCGGTCTTAATGTATATTCACGGGGTATATCAATGAGAGTGAAATTATAAAACTTGTTTAGGTGATGTATTTTATTGTACACTCAGTGCAATATAGATAATAAAATAAATAAGATATATGTAGATATAGTTTTATTAATATTAATTTATGCTAAATCGTGATCCTCATGATGACTCTCAAGGAGAGTCGCAATATAGAAAATATTAAAAAATATTATATCGGCCCAGATCGGGCCTTAATCGTCTGAAGGAGTCCAGTACATACATCTTTCTGAGGCGCTTTAATTGTTAATCTAGCTCTCGATCTTCTTTGGTTTTTACTTCCCAGGGTCACGCGTTTATTTTTTAGGTAAGTATATAGCTGTCCTATTCCGCACTGGGGGAATCGGACACTAAGAAGAAAGATATTTTCGTTACGTGATTTTAGAGCTTAACGATGTCTGCTTAACCGTATAAGTGATAAATTTCAAACTATATCAAATAGGCCAATCACCGTTCTCATACATTAGAGCTGATATATTCCTGGGAACTACGCTTTTAAATGTTTTCGTACAGATATTTTGTTTACGGACAATGTTTACGCTTAAGTTTCAGAAGGGTCATGTATCATAAGTCCTACCCTTATCATATGAACTTTAACATTTTTGTGCCTCCCTTTCATCGATATTTTTTTAAGTATATATCTTTTTTCCAGTTCATATGAAGTAAAGCTAGTGATAATATCGTGAGCTTATCTTAAGAAATTAACAATTTTACTATTCATATGTACTTACCCCCATACTACTCATGGGCCTCATATATATCATATATCACTTATTAAATCCTATTCTTCAATCCAGTCACGCAAGCACTCAGTACTCAACTTAAATATATACATAAAGCTTATCTCCTTCAAATATAATTCTCTAGAAATGGAAAGTAGAGCTTTCTTTTCTTTCCTATAAGCGGATAGGTAATAGCGAATAGGTGTCTTTTCATTATGAAAAATGATAAATAATAAAAAAAAATTATTAATGTGATATACAAAATAAAACAATTCATTCTTACATACTTTTTTTTTAACCACGGGAAACATTTCAGTAATTTGTTTTATGACAGAAGTCTTTGAATACTATAAGACAACTTTATCTAAATAACCCGATTTAATACATAAGTGTTTACACTATCACGTTATTAGGTGCAGTTAATGACCGATAATATTTATACGAATATAAATTCCACTAATAAGTGAGAGTATTTGGTTTTTATTTCATAGATTGCGATACTACATTGAAATGGCAGTGATTTTGATAAGAGAAAGTCTAGCCCCTGCCCCTCTTCAGGTAACACGATGTTTCTAAATGTGTTTATTTTGCAATTCTTATTTTTTTGTGGTTTTTATGCATTGTAATAACTTTCAAGGCCTATAAAGATATCAATCGCCAAATAAACTGTCACAACTGCCAGACATTTTATGGACTCTAAGCAAGCGAAAGGATAAACAAATTTTAGTCATAAAAACGCTGTTTCGTGTGTTGCATTTTCATTGTTTGCCAAAAATTAATGGATAAAAAAGATACAAAATGTACTAAAAGAAATTTTAACTATAAAAAAAATTTGTTTAATTCGTGTGAATAAAATATGTAAGTCGGCGAGCCAAATCCACAAATTGCTTTAAGCCCAAAAAGAAGTTTAAATAAACAAAATATTTTGAAAAATAATGCAAATTTCTGTTCATATAGAGGTCCTTTGCGAAGCATAAGATGAAAAAAGGATTAGGTATTGTAAATCGCTTATCTCACAATAAAACTTAAAAATATATACAAACATTGTGACTACCAATTGAGTTTTGGCAAGCGTTCCTTTGCATCAATAGACTTTGATGGTAGAGTTCGTAGGCGGATTTTGAGCCAGAAAAATTGGCCGCAATGCTTAAAAACCATTTACAGCAATTCCAGCTCTCAGTTCAAATATCATAATGTTTAATTTTTAATCCTTATTGTATTATAAGACTTGTTGCCAAAAGAAGAAATTTGTAATTTGGTTTATTGCTGCTAATTATGCCTTCTGAGTAGTTAATGTACTTGGGTTTAGCGGAGAACTGAAAGTTTTAGTTCCAATAAAGTTTTCAAATTCATTTAAACAAATGTTTATATATTAAATACATATGGTACTTGCGACTAAAGCGGCATATAGTTAGTTAGTCAGTTGAAGTGGAGAGAGGAACGAATCCTCCGCAATTAACGCAGAAAGCTGTTTTGAATCCAGAATTCCTCGTAATAATGGATAGCAGAACGTCTGGTCAATGTTAATGTTGGAGATATCGTTGAGTGTGTTGAATAAAGGGGCCCCAAAAACCTATGATTTAAGCGGCATAAACAAGGAATATAATTGATTGATTCAAGAAATAAAAAAAACTATTTACTGAGATACCCAGACACGAATTACCAAGGAAGTTTCTACCTCAAAAATACTAGTAGTTAGGTTGAGGTAACACTAATATCTCCGAAAAGGTTTATACTAATAGCTTAAGGTAAATACTAGTGTATAGTTTAAATATCTTCTAATATTTTCACTAATATGTCGTTGTACTTAAAAAACTTTGGATGTTTCGATAGTTCAAAGTCTATTCTTTTGATAATTAAAATTTTTTTTTTTTCAAAAAGACATAATTGTTTTGAAATTGTAAAAAGACCTGCCTTTATTCTCCTATAAATCCTAAAAATTTTTTTTTTCTTCAAAACATTTCATGTATTTCAACTTACTGGAAGATTGGCATTGCTAAGGATGCACGTCACGTATTCGCTGTACGTGGTAGATACATGGTTTGAGGGCTGTACTTAGAGAGAACCATATGATTGATAACTTTGTATGGTATAGGCTAAGTTTGCAGAACAAATGTAGAGTAGTATCAAATATGGCTATAATAGTAATGAGAGAGCAAAGAAAATTTAAAGGATATTGAAACGTATCGAGCGAGTGAGAACTTAAAGCCATATTCTTTTACATAAAATTAATGAAAGGTACGACCCGTGGACGTGGATTAACAGAATCTTTTCCGGCTTCAAAAGGGCTAATTGGGTTAGTGTCTAACTTTAAAAGAAAAAAAATCTTTAGCTTTTTTTAACACAAACACATAAATTTATTATTCAACATTTTTGTATTCCCACTAATTTTTAAATATATACTTTCGTAATAACCAAGATCTATGAATAGAGTAATAATTATCAATTTCAAAACAATAATATATACATAAGATAGATTTTTCTTGAATATGACGCGTATTATAACGAAAAAAACTAGAGATTGTTGTTTCTTCATTACTGTTCGAACCCTTATTATTAATATTATTATTATTATTTTAGTTTATTACAAATATTACAGCAATTTATTTATTTATTATTATTAAAAACGAAACCATATTTGAAATAGAAATCCCCCGTAAAATTTCTATTTGTGGTTGGGGTTTGTTGAATATGAGTGATGTTTTCATCCTTGGAATAAACTTCAGTATCAGAAGACTCTGAATCTGAATTTAAGATTGACATTATAAGCATATTTTCAGACAAAAGGGAACTAAAGTAATTTCTAACGGCACAACTGGTATCTTCAAGTATGTCAAGTAATCCTTTATCTTTAGCATTTTTGTCTAGTTCTTCACACAATTTTGCAATATAGATTGAACCAGAACTGTTCCGGAACGAAGTACCACCTATAAGTAAAGAGAAATTCATTAAAGCATTTTTTTTGGGATTCTTGGAAATAAATGTGATGGTATTTGGATATAAATGTGATTAGGGTTCAATAGGAAGAAATTGTTAGAAATCACAGGGGTATGTAAAATATATAAAATACAGTTAAAATTGTATTTTTATAATATTTGTATATAAATTATTTACCTTCTGCTGTAGAATATGATTTTAATGTATATTTGGTAAAATATTCTATTTCCTTCTCATCTCCTTCTATTATAACATCCTGAAAATCATCTACACCTCGACATGATTGTATTATTAACCATTTTAATTTGTGATTGAGCTCTTTAATAGTTTGTAGAGGTTTCAATAAATAGTTTTGTATAGAGAAAGCTTTGACAGGATCCCTGACTATATCATCATCTGAACCGTGCGATAAATAAGCCATTACAACATATTCGAAATGTGCATAATATTTAACCCAATCCGTTTGCACTATAAAAATGATTTGAATATACAAAAATTTTATAAAATTTTATAGTACTATATATATTAATATATTTAATTTAATATAATAAAAAATAATGTTATAATAAAAATCCGTATTTTTCGTATTGTCATGAATTGATAGTTCAGATTACTTTAGGCTTTCGATGACTGATTTAGTCTGATAAGTAGGGAAAGATTAGAGACTGCAATGTTTGCAGATTCTCAAATTCCTACTGTCTGAAATACAAACAAGTGAAGACTCGACTGGAGAAGGTGGACTGGAGGAGGTGGAGAGAATTGCTGCGACAGGCCCAAACCGTTAATGGGTTGTTTTGGTCAACTAAGAAAGTAAGTAAGTAAAAACTTTGTTTCTCAGATTTTATTTTATTTAGTTATGCACCAACTATTAATTCTTTTCAAATTGTACGTCATATCATTACTCCAAACTGATTATATGGTAGTGCATATTAATACATCATTATCTTACATTTTTTTAAAGATTCTCTTATATCGTCGCAGTTTCTATCCGACCAATCGACCACTGTGATATTAAGTGCTGTAAATGTTTTAGTTAATTTTTCAATATCAACTTCTGAATTAGCACGTGAAAAACTTTGATTAACTATGAACGCGACACCTGGTAAAAAGTTAGAAACCGTTTCCATTGTTTGTGAAATAATTATATTAATTAATTTGATTGAATAGTTTTCGGATATGTTAATTAATAGATTGTAAATTATTATTAAGGTTTATAGAAAATTTTTATACTAAAGCTACAAATGTTTAAACACAACTGAGAAATTACGTCTCAAGTGTTGGCTACTCTACCTGAAAGGTATAGATAAGCTTACAGTAACTTGTTTGTTTGTTCTGTACTAAAATTATTTGGGACGTAAGGGAATAATATTTTGTTTGATAATAAAGTTCAATTAATCAAATATATAACAAAACAATGGTTTTATCTAGTAAGTTTAAAGAGAGAATTTAATTAGCCGCTGAGATATTTTTATGTCACGCTATTTAGTACGAACACAGATGGGCAACTGGTGAGGGAGCCTTAACTTAACAATTTAAGAAACTGATTTTTGTTTAAACTTAAGTTTCCTTTTATTTAGCTTGAGTAAAGTTATTTATTTAAATCTATGAAAACAGATGTTTTGATGATGAGTATTTTGGTATTACTAGAAACAGCAGTATGGTTAGTCAAAAATTCAATTAATTAAAAATTTATACAAATTTTGTTGTTAATATACACCAATGTTCACTATTGAAACCTTTTTAATATAGATCATTTGAAAATAGCTGAACCAATTCATTTTTTTAGTGGTAATGCCCTCTTTTAATTTGAGAGAAATGTAAGAATTAAATTTGCCTTATCTAGGGTAGTTAAAATTCACGAGACCACATGCAGGTAATACTGATATCTTCAGTAAATACAGAGATTACATATGCTTAATACTTTGGTTTTTAGTTTTAGCTTTTGTGTGGAGAGAGAGAGAGAGAGAGAAAGAGAGAGAGAGAGAGAGATAAAGAGAGAGAGAGAGAGATAAAGAGAGAGAGAGAGAGATAAAGAGAGAGAGATAAAGAGAGAGAGAGAGAGAGATAAAGAGAGAGAGAGAGAGATAAAGAGAGAGAGAGATAAAGAGAGAGAGAGAGAGAGAGAGAGTAGAAGCTGTACGTTATCACAAAATGATAAAGCAGCAATGGGAGTTTTCGAGAGAAAAGTTTTCCGTAAGATCTCTACGAGTTATCGACAATCACCGCATCCAAATGAACTATGAGCTGTACGATTTTTATCACGACTTGAAAGTATTTCAGCGAATTAATATTCAGCGGCTTAGGTGACTTTGTCATGTCGTGAGAATGGCTGAAGATGTTCCAGTGAAAAAGCTGTTTAAGACGGTAGTTAGAGAAAGAAGATGAAGAGGTAGACTCTGTCTCGGGTGAATTTATTAAGTTGATTAAGCACTAATCGGATTTAATGTATGAGATTGAAGAAGCATTTAAAGAGGAATGCTGCGTTAGCCCAAAACCCGGTAATGGGTTGTTGTCGCCCGTAGGCTTGTAGAAACCCGGTAACGGACAGTCTTACTACCCGTAAGTAGGTAAGTAAATAAATTATAGCATTTATTTTTAAATCTATATATTTTATATTCAAATATTGCCAGACGTTAAGAAATTTTTTTACTTCTTTATCAGAGCGGAGTGTAACAACTAGTTTCGCAAACAACGAATTGGTACGATCCATTGAAGATACAAAAAGGCTTCTAAAAGAAATAAGCATTTTTAAAATATCGAACTAAAAACAACCGAATACTAATTGTATAATAATAACAGTATATAATATGACATGGTTTTAAGGACCGTTTGAAATTAGACGAGTCTTGAGTATTATTAAATTTCTTTATCGAGATACTTCTTCAGATGTATGTTTTTTCTAAATAATTGTGTATATTTTTCTATTGTGTTTTATTTATTCCTGTTAATATAATCACTTTTTCAGACTTCTACAAAACAGCTTTCTAAAAATATAAATATTATGTATCGGAAGCACTTGAATGCCGAACATCTCGTTTAAATGAACTATATCTTCTATTTCTAGCAAATTTCGGTTTTAGTTATTTCAATTTCTCAACTAAAATTGAAGATTTCAAGAAAGATAAAAATTAAATATACAATTTTGTTCAGAATCATCCATTACTTTACTAATTAATCACTTTCTTTTAGGTAATGGTGAGAAGAAAAATTACTCCACAGACAAAACCGTGTCCAATAAACGTTTTACTAAGTTAAGGCTATATGGTACGAACCTGCATGGCACCACCTGCAGTGCATGTCTAGTTTATTCGCCTATGGAAATTGTTTTACTTTTGTTATTTTGTGGGTGCAACCGAGTAGTACACAGATATCGAGTAGTGCAACAGAACTTTACGTTGCGTTGCCTTGGGATGATGGGATGAGCCGACATGAACGGAAGTCACACTGAATTGGCACCCTCTGCACAAAATGGATTCTTGTTTGCATTCGCATGTTTCTTTTTCTGTAGCCGTGTATGTACTCCGAGTATTCGTACGCGTGTAAATATTTTAATGGAAATTGGTTTTATGCAATGCTGGCTTTTGTTTATTTTTGCAATTGGATGTTTTGCATTGGATATGTGGACTTTCACAGGCTAGATTTCCATATTCATTTGCCGCTTTGTATACAAATTTGTAGGTATGTTCACCGAATGCAATACACCATTTCGATTAACATTTGATTCTATATGCTTATACGTTGTTGTAGTAATGTTCCATTTTAAGGTGGGCTTATGCATATGTAATGTAGACTTAGTCTGCACTTTTTCCCTTTGTTATGAGGCTATGTGAAAGAAATGGATGAGTTTGTATTCGTATACATACATATTTGGTATTATTTTTGGTGATTACATTGTTGTATTTTCATAGTATCTAATAGACATTCGAAAAACTAGTCTGGCATTGTATGATTTTATTTTTATTAGCATGTACATATTGTTTATCTTAATTTATTATATTCTAAGTTTAACTACTATATTTATAATATAAATTTCATTTATATATGGAGTACAATGACGTGAATATAGCATACTTCCAAATTAACAACTATTTATAAAAACTTTATTCATTTTTAGCTACTCTAACTAATTCGATACTCTGGAGAATTGAAGTTATTTTGATTTGGTCTATATGGTATCCATATATATAGGTATCCATATATACCTACTTCCTATTCAGTGGAGTACGAGTGTAAGTACACGTATATATAAAATATCTGCAAGTACAAGATACTAACATAATGATGACACTGATTGCAAAGTAGCTTGTCAGTGATCAAGAATGTTCTCAATAGTATGCTCACTGTTGACAATTATAAGTTCGAAGTTGTGAAAGACTTTGCTTATTTAGGAACCTAGAGAGCCTAGACATTCAACATTTAAATAAAGCCCTCTCTCGACAAACAAAAATCACGCTCTACAAATTTCTTATCATGCCTCTCCTGCTATATGGTGCAGAAGCTTGGACAATTACCAACACTGATGAGACGACGTTCGGAGCATTCGAGAGAAAAATTCTTCGGAAGATCTATGGTCCCTTACTTAATTAAAACAAAACATTATTAAAACGATTTAATTTCTAAGCTGATATCAATAAAAAATAACACTAGGTACTTTAACTCCTTCGCATTCAAAGTACAAGCTTGGAATGACATGATCTGGAGAACATAATAAATGGAAAATTCGTTTTTAAATATTGCAAAAAAAAGTGTTAAAATGAAGCACTTTATTCAAATATAGTTCAGTAAAACTTGTATATATATAAATATTATATTTTATATATTTTATGTTTTTAATTAATATAAATGTTTTAGAATATATGTTTTTCTAATTTGTAAAAGTCTCCGAATGATAAAGTTAACCTTAGTTCAGTCGGTTCCAACTTTATTGTACCACTAAAGCTGTTTTGATTCGTTATATGGTTTTTTTAAATTCATTCTGTGCAAAGTACTTTTTTTTCATTAAATAGTGGGTATCGAAAGATATCGTGTGATACCTTATTCCGCTAAAACTATCTTTTGGGAATGATTTGTAAAAGTATTTACTCAGAACACGATCCATTGTACTAGTCATCACGTTCTGAGAATTAACACAGCGGGTTTAAAAATTAACGTTCAAGTTTTAAGAGGACGGGACAAAAGAATAGACAATACTTCATAGTGTCGTCGTTGTCTAAACAACGGCAACATTAACAGTTGCCAGGGAAGCACACGTTTGGCGGAAAGCATAATAACAAATTAAATGTTTAAAAATGCTACTAAAATATGTGTGTTTGATTGATCAGTTATAGAACTTACTTTTAATTAATATTGTGTTATAGAATAAAAAATATTTTAGAGATAATGCGGTAACTCTCAGCAATTGATATGTTGGTTGATTGGTTTCAGTAGCGACACAATTTTCTCCTTCACACTCTCAGATATGGGATTGTTATTTTTAAAACTGGACTATGTATTTGTTTAAGGAGATTATTTTTAGAAGATCTATGTTTTGAATATTCAGAGGGAAATTATTTAATCTTGTCAAAATATAGCGTTTCCTTGAAAAGTGGTTAGTCGATCCATTAGCCTTGTCTTTCTGACAGGTTCTGCATTTTAGATTGAAGGTATGCCTAATTTTTTGGCATGGAGTGCAATTAATTTTTGGTAGGAAAAATAATGTAGATTACTATTATATCCAATGAATGAGCTGCAGTAATATAGCAAAAATTATGACAGAAACCATACAGGCAACAAAATATAGTTAATATTTTAAATCATGACAAAGCTACCCGTTTGAGTTTAGTACTTTAGCCCGTTTCTTGACTAAATAATAAATTGGTGATCCAGACAAGGCTCACCATCGGACTTAAGGGTAATTTTATTGGGTTGAGGGAACGATTATTTTACACTTTGTCAAAAAAAAAATGTGGTTTTGAGATTAAGTTAAAGACTTTTTTTTGCAATAATGAACCTACTAAAATTGATCTGATTGAAGCAATATGGATTTTATAAAGTTAATTCAGTTATTCCTAATTACAGTTTTAGGAATAAATTTCTTCTAAAAACTAAATTTACAATATGATACGCCATCAACTCAAAATTTGAGTAT